CACATCTCTCCCCCTTCTCACACCCTGATGATGTTACCTAGTTGGGTGATGAAACGTCTGCAAGAAAACAAGCTCAGAGAGCAGCCAGGACCCCTGATTTCAACCCCTGAGCTACAAATATTCCCCTTTATAAGTCAGAATAAAGCTGAGAAGAAGGAACTCCCATGATCCATTCAAAGGAAATTCCCTCCTCCATCCCACCCTCATTACAGCCAAGGAGGTCCCCACTCACCACATCTGTGTAGGCTTCAGCCATATGGATCCACTGGCCTCCAGGAAGCCGGACCTGGTTCTCAAACACTTCCTCCACAAAGCTTGTGTGACCAGCGTCCACATCATGCAGCAGCCTGAATTGGGATGGGGACGGGGGGGAGGACATGACCCTGACTCCTTTTAACCTTTTTTCCCCTCAACCATTATTAAACAGGAGCCTTCCTGATCCTTTGCCTTGGGATGAGGACATCCTTGTCACCATTGCCTTCCTCAGTCTTCCTTGGGAAGCCAATTATGTAAATGATAAAGAGTAACTTAAACATAATGGAAAAGAGGAGTAGATTGGATATGCTGAAGAGAAATGATCCTTACAGACTGTCACAAAAAGATATCGTTTGTTTTTAATTGCAGACTCATCTTTCATCCTCATCTTTGTTCTCGAAAGATGTTTCTTCTACAAACCATGACGGTGACGATGGTGATATGTTTGACCTCGATGATGCAAACGGAAACTCTTTAAGTAACTAGATGAGTTGCAACCACTGATGAGGCTCTACAGCAAGGGGTCCCCATACTTGGCAACTTTAAGGCTTGTGGATTCCAGCCAGCTATGGTGGAGAAGTCCACAAGTCTTAAAGTTGTCAAGTTTGGAGACCCCTGCTCTACAGCCACACAAGATTTAAGACTTCTCAAAGTTCTCAAATGGATTTGACGTAGAATAGAATAACAGAGTTGGAAAGGACCTTGGAGGTCTTCTAGTCCAACCCCCTGGCAAGGCAGGAAACCCTACCACCACTTCAGACAAATGGTTATTCAACCTCTTCTGAAAAACTTCCAATGTTGGAGCATTCACAACTTCTGGAGGCAAGTAGTTCCACTGATTACCGTATTTCCCCATGTATAAGCACCCCCTTTGTATAAGCCACCCCCCCAATTTTTGGACTGTGAAGTTTTGAAAAAAACATTTTATTAGAGAAACAAGTTATGAAGAAAGAAAATTTACAAAGAAACAAAATTCGTCGTCTAGATCTACAACTTCGGTCATGACGCCGAAAGCGGTGCGGGCGACGCTAGCAATCTACGCATCGGAACGAGAGTAGGAACGAAGCATTCAGGCCGATGCCTAGCGTATGCATTTCTATCGCGTACTCGCACTCGTAATCGTATCGTCACTTACAATTTTTACAAAAAAGTATAGCATACTGCTGGAAAACCAGTTTATTCCTACTTTATTATTTTATGCATTTTTCACGTATAAAAAGTGTACCTGCTTTGTATATGCCACCCCCCTACTTTTTGGGCTTGAAAATTTTGGAAAAAAGGGGTGGCTTATACATGGGGAAATACGGTAATTGTTCTAACTGTCAGGAAATTCCTCCTTAGTTCTAAGTTGCTTCTCTCCTTGATTAGTTTCCATCCGTTGCTTCTTGTCTTCCCTTCAGGTGCTTTGGACAAGGTGGCCTACAAGGTCCCTTCCAACTCTGCAAATCTCCCCTCATTATTGAGAGAGGGCTGTTCGGTTTTAACCTAAATGGCCTCTTTAGGTCCCATCTTTCAAGCCAGCGGTCCTCTCTGGCCAGAAAGTGGACTTTGCTGCCTTCAGAAGATGGACCTTTGTCTTTCTAAATGCAGACAGACTCCTGAACTCTCTTACAGTTCCATGCCCATCTGCACTTTGATTCAGGGGTGGGATTCAAAAATAAGACTAAAATATGGACAGAGGAAATTATCCAAGGCGGATCGGAGCGGAAACCTGAATTGTACCTCCTGGGTATAATTAAAGGTGACTATTCCCTCAAAGTAAGGTGCTTGATTATTCATATATTAACAGCGGCACGAATCTTACTGGCACAATATTGGAAAACACCCTCTATATACACTTTATTATTCAGAAAATTGATGAATGCGCCAAAATGGAGAGGCTTACACTACAATTAAAAGGGAAAGATGGCTGTGAATACTATTTGATTTGGGATAAATGGTATGATTGGATAGACCGTAAAAAAGAGAATGCATAAAATAAGAGGAAATAATGAACCTATGAAACATATTATTATATATAAACTAAAGGATAGGAATTTATAAAATACTAGTTTTATCCCTCTTTCTCTTTGATTAAGTTCTATAAAGGATTTATCTATAAAAATACATAGTTATAATCCAATAATAATAAGAATAATAGACTATTAAGTATTATATAGTATAGATAACAATTAATTTACAAGGGATAAGAAGTAACTGCCATTTAATACCTTTTATGAGATATTTAAATCACTATCAAATGCATTAGAGAGAAATATGATTTGTCTTATTATAGAATGTGTGGGGATGTTTATTTGTATGATGACTTCTTATTTTTTACTCTTGTATATTTGTATACTTTAATCTTTTGTACTTAATAATGTATTTTTAAAAATTTAAAAAAAATAATGCCAGCAACCGGTTCTCTGCCCGGTTGCTAGGTGACCGTGGCTCACTGGAACTTCCGGGAGGGCCGTAATTTGCCTTCCCCAGGGTCCAGAGGCTTCCCTCAGGCCTCTGGGAGGGCAAAAACAACCTCCCCTGGGTTCCAGAGGCCCTCCGGAAGTTGGAAATAGGCCCATTTCTGGACTTCTAGGAGGCCTGTGTTTTTCACCCTCCTGGAGCTTCTGTGCAGACCCTGGACATCCAAAACGGGCTGCGTGGAGACTTCTGGGAGGGGCGGTGTGGGAGGGGCCAGCCGGTCGGTTCAACTACCGGTTTGGCGAACCAGATGTAAATTTAACATCTGGTTCGTCTGAACTGGTCCCAACCATTAGAATCCCACCCCTGCTCTGATTCAGGTGACTCTGAGGATGGGGATGAACCCTCAAGTGGCCTCAATTACTCTCAGGGAGCTCACAACCCAACTTCAAAGTGCTGACATCCAGGTGACTGCAAAAGAATATAAGTCCTTCCATTCCCCTCCAGTCAGTCAGAACCAAAGACGCTTCTTGGATGAGAAGCAAAATGTTTTCAAGGGGTGGAAAAAAAAAACCAAGGAAGTCCAGCAACCTTTTGGAAAAGCACCTTTGGGTGTGGCCCCTTCGTGTCCATCTCCAAGTGGCCAGGGCCCACCAGGTTCCTTCATGAGATCTTGCCTCAAGGCAGCCTCATGGGGTGATCTGGGGAGGTGGGGTGGGCGGGCGATGGAATGCAGCTCTCCTGAATGAGAAGAACTCACCCAGGGTGGCCCAAGGAAAGGGAAGAGACCCCAGAGACCTCAACCTCCCGCCGTCCGTCACTCACGTCTTCTCGGGGCTGACGAACCAATCTCCAGCCCACGCCCAACCGGTGGAAGGCTTGAAACTGTCCTTGGGTAGCTTGATCTTGGCGGTGATGTCTGAGTATTTAGGGTAGGTGAGACCCGTCGTGCCCCAGTTCCCTACCAATGCCAGCTTCGTTTGGTTTTCATACTAGGACCCAAAAGGATGAGAAAGAGAGAAATCGGGGATGAGCAAATGGGCAAAGCTACCCTCCCCAAAAGGCACCTGCTGCAAACTCACAAGAAGGTTGGGGTGCAGGGATTCCCCAGGAACTAAGAGGCAAATCAGCCCGGAGTCCTTGGTATGCAAGAAGAGAGCCAGGCACGGACTCTCCTCGCTTCACACGGCACATCTACTGGTTATGTAGATTGTGCTTTAGTCTGGCAAGATCCCTGTCTGTAGGCAGGCACCAGTAAAGAAAGTACTCTGGATAGATCCGTATGTTGTTCTTGGTTCCTTGCCCCTGACAGGACCTTAGAGGTGAGCAATGAACTTTTTGGAGTCTGCCAAGCTAAAAGGAAACCTTGCTGGGTGGAATTCTATTCAGTGCAATGGAAAGATGGACAATATTAATTAACAATGATTGAGGCCACCAGAAGAGCAAGAACTACAACTTTATATCTACCCTGATGGAGGAGGAGGGAGAGGGGGAGAGAGGGAGGGGGGGGGGGGGAAGAGGAGGAGGAGGAGGAGGAGGAGGAGGAGAAGAAGTAGAACAACAAGAAGAAAAGAAGAACAAGAGGGGGAAGGGGAGGAGGAAGGAGGAGAAGGAGGAAGAGGAGGAAGGGGAAGGAGGAAGGGGACGGGGAAGGAGGAGGAGGAAGAGGAGGAGGAGGAGAAAAGAAGAAGAAGAAGAAGAAGAAGAAGAAGAAGAGGAAGAGGAAGAGGAAGAAGAAGAAGAAGAAGAAGA